CATCTTTTGTTTGCTTCACCTGAAATCCTAAAAAGTAATTTAGCTCTCTCATCATGCTCATCATGAACTCGTCCTGCTAATTTATTAAACTTATGGCAATTATCCTTATAGTAGCTCCAAATATAATATCATCAACATGTACTTGCACACTAAGGATATCTTTATCAATAAATTGAACGACGACTAAGGTGTTGTCTGCAAACCTCTTCTTAAAATTATGTTTAAGCAAATTAGAACTTAGAAGATCATACCAAAACCATGGTACTTGTTTAAGACCATACAAAGCTTTATTTAACTTATACATATGATATGAAAAAGTATAGTCAATGAAACCAGGGGGTTGTTCTACACAGACTTCTTCTTTCAAGTACCCATTTAGAAAGACACTTTTTACATCCATTTGATATAGCTTAAAACTTTTATATAACAAGAAAATTCAAATAAGATCATGGTGGTTTCAACTCTAGAAACTAGAGTAAAAAGATTCATCGAAATCAATCCCTTCTATTTGATTGTAACATTTAGCAACAAGTCTAGCATTATTTCTCACGACCTACGCTTTTCATCCAATTGTTTTTAAAAACCCATTTAGTTCCTATAATAGGATCTTTAGGTTTAGCAACTAAATTTTAAACTTTATTTCTTGTGAATTGATTAAGCTCTTCTTGCAAGATAATTATTTAATTATTATTATATATTGCTTTATTCACATTCTTTGCTTCAATCTCAGATATGAAATTCACATAAGCACAAAATTCACCTAGAAAGGAATGATAATTTTTACCTTCACCTACCTTTGTGGTTGTCATTGAGCAATAATAATCATTCAAATGAGTAAGTGGTTGACAATTTCTTTTTGGATGGTCTCTTTTTGAAGTTATTTGCTAATTTTCTGATTTGGTTAGAACTTGGATATCTTTTGCTTCAATATTTTCCTTTATTTCCTCATTTTTCTATTGTACCTCATATTATGCTTTCTTCTCACCTTCCTCTAAAATCTTTTCTCCTTCAACATGTATATTTGGATTCATCACAAGATAGTCGTATGCACTGTCGACCAAAACATTAGAAGTGTGAGATTCATCAAACTTAACATGGATAGACTCTTCAAGAATTTTAATTTTTTGTTATGAACTCTATAAGCTTTACTACAAGAAGAGTATCCTAAAAATACACACTCATCAGCTTTAGAATCGAAATTTTCTAATTGATCTCTTGTGTTTAAAGATAGCATTTACAATATAAAACGCAAAGATGTGAAACATTTGGAGAAATTTGATGATAAAGCTCATAAAAAGTTTTATTTAGCATTGGCCGAAGATAAGCTCTATTATTCACATAGCATGCTACATTAATTGCCTCAACCCAAAGGTGTTTTGGTAACTTATACTCATTTAACATGGTTCTACCCATTTCTTGTGAAGTTTGATTCTTCTCATCAAAAAACCCTATTTTATTGTGGGGTTCAAGAAGAATAATACTCATGAGTGATACCTTTGTTAACACAATGTTATTAAAAAATTTTATTTTTAAATTCTACGAGACATTTTTCTTTTTCAACTTTATTTGAAAATTTTTAATTTTTTTAAAACATTCACTCTTTTTGGCTAGAAACATTATCCATGTAAATATAACATAATCATCAACCACTACTAAATAGTAAAAACTTTGTGTGGACACTGGTCTAAAAAGATCTACGTGAAGTAATTACAAATGTTTAGAAGTGCTTACAAGATTCTTCAATCTATGAGGGTATTTTATGAATTTACCTTTTGTGCAAGCCTCACATAAACTCACACTTTTAAAAGTTGTAACAAACAAATGTCTAACTAATTCTTTCATTGAGAGTTTTAGTAATAAACCTATGCTTGCATGTCCAAGTCTCTTTTGCCAAATCACACCATCCTCTCCTCCTACAACCAAACATTTTTATAGTGTCAGATTTAATATCATTGAAGTTTAAAGTATACACAATATCATGTCTCTTCCCTAGAAACACAATCAAACCGGCTTTTAAATCAATAATTTACAAAGTAGATTTAAAAACATAGACAAACCTTTGTCACAGAGCTGACTAATAAAAATAAGATTGTACTTTAAACCATCAATAAATAAAACCTTAAAGAGTTTAAAGGAATTATTATCTATATCACCAACTCCTATAATCTTGTCATTATTCTCAAAAGTCACATCTCCACCTTTGTTTTTATCAACACTAAGAAACAAGCCTTTCTTACCTATCATATTTCGAAAACATCCTAAATTTAAATACTATGCACTCCCTTGTTCCTTAGATCTCCACTGGACTTCTTAATATGAGTTTTTACTATCTAAATCTTTCATAATTTGAACATTAGCCATAAGACAATTACGTTTATCATTGGCATTTGAGTCATCATTTGAATCTTCTTCTTTACTCGAGAAATCCCATAATGTTTCCTTGAAGCTTTTGTTATTTCCTTTGTAATCATTCTTGTTGAGAGGACATCCATTTTTGTAATGTCCAAGTATCCAACAATGATGGTAGATAACTTTAGAATCTGAATTTTCATATTTAGTTTTCCTTACCTTTGTGAAACTTTAATTCCATTCATTTTGCATAAATTTTTTCCCATCTTTCGTCTTTAGGAACGATTTGAATCCTTTAACTACTACTCCCATCTCACTCTTATTATCATTATAAGAGTTCGAGCTTGATTCTTTCTTCTTTTTGGATTATGATTTCTCCTTTTTGGCCTTTAGGGCTAATGATTTTCTCTTAAAATCATCTTGCGGAGCATCTTTTCTCTCTTTTAATTGAATTTCATACATGAGAAGATTACCTACAAGATTTTCAAAAGTTAACTTAGAAAATTTTTATAATCCTTCAGTAGCCGCTATCTTAGGTTCCCAATCCCTAGATAAAGAATGATTTTTTTTTGCAAAGCTCCTTTTTATCGTACTCCTTTCTCAAAGCTTTGGATTTGTTCACGATGTCGGTGAATCATATGAACATACATTGAATGCTCTCTAAGGCCTTCATCTTGAAAACTTCATATTTATTGACAAACATAGTAAGTTTCGCCTCTTTAACTTGTGATGTTCCTTTGTGTGTAATCTCCAGTGTTTTCTAAATTCCCTATGCAGTAGTATAATTTGAAACGCAGTTAAATTCTTTAGTAGTTGAGAAGCAGTAAAGAGTATTCATAGTTTTAGCATTTAAATAATAAAACTTTTTATCGGGAGGAGTCCACTTGTCTCTAGGAGTAACAATGGTGACCTCTTCTATAATGGCAGTCGGTTCACAATAGATATTATCTATGCTATTCCAATCGTCATAATTAGTGGATAAAAAAAAGATTTTTATACAATGCTTTCCAATAGATGTAATTTATCCCATCAAAAAGTGGAGGTCGGTTTACAGCGTGTCCCTTGGGAAAAGCCCTTGTGATGGTAAGACTAGATATCTTTACCTTAGGTTTTTAATACCTAAAGATGGGTAATGCGACTCTAATATCACTTGTTGGGACTGAGATATAAGTCTAGAGGGAGGGGTGGGGGTTAATAGCTTTGCTATAGATTTTCGCTAAAAAATAGAGTTTACAATGAAAATAATGTCAAAATAAAAATGAAAAACCAAACCAAATATAAACCAGAGAATACACGAGATTTTATAGTGGTTCGGATATAAATCATACATCCACTCTTTCTTTTCATGAAGGGTCTTCCTCACTATGATCAGAGTTCTCTTGAATCACGACTAGATTTAATAAGCTTATGAAGACCACACCTTCGTATCTGCTTGAAACGAGTTGTCTAACCTAACTCATCACACATGAGTAACACCTAGGCTAGTAACACCTAGGCCTAGCTAGTCCCAACTCTTAATTATCATTGGCTTGAGTACACTGTAAAAGCAACATAAAACATACCAACCAAAACAATTTAAGTGCAAAAATCAAAACGATCTTACAGCCTTTTTTAAGCAAACTATTCTTCAAAAGAATCAAAGTGAAGCTGGATGAAAAAGTACTAATGATGTTGAATCCAATGGCAACTCTCCTCGCTAAAATAATTCAAGATGCTAAGCGCAATGAGAAAGAGTTTGACGAGGCTCCTGGGATTAAATCACAAATCAACTTCACACAAACCCTAGAATAAAGTCTCTCTCTTTTTCTCAATGCAAGAACCTCTCCAAAATATGATTTCTTTTTGTCTTATATAGCCTTCGATAATAAAGGAAAGGAATATAAGAATTATAGTAGAACTTGGAAATGAAAGGGGTCGATGAATTATTGAGATTAAAATATCAAATCTGTCAAAATACGTCGTCACCATCAATGGTTAAACACGAGCATCAATGGTCCCCTATCCACCATAGATGGTTACTTTATAATTCACGATGAGCTAAAATCTGGTTTCTAGAATTCATCATGTGTGCATTGTAGTCCATCAATGGTATAGCTGATCATCAATGGTTCTCTGTAGTCCATTGATGGTTCTAATTCCTGTTTCTATTTCTCTCTGACAGTGCACAACAATCCATCAATTGACTCATGATCATTGATGGTGTCCTCGTGACCATCAATGCTGTGTTGGCTGAAATAACATGAATGTTGATTTTTGCATCGTTCTGCCTTGTATCTTTCGTACAACTATTTATAGTTGTAATATATCATCTCAAACAATCTTCAGTAACAAATGAGATTTTGTGATTACTCAAACAATAGATATTGTGCGAACTACCAAATATAACACACCTTAATACAAATAAACATTCAAAAAATATATACCTAACTCAAGTCAAATCACATTTTCACTCACAAGAATTACCGATACCGCTTGCCAAATAGTCACACTTTTACATTGTAATATCCTTGATCAAATTGCATGTGTTAAAGAGTTGATTGATAGAGTGAAGCAAAAATTCAGCTTGAGAGAAAAAGCTGAGGGGAATCAATTGAATGCAAGTCATCTGCAAGAAAAAACTTTAGACCAAACTTATCTGGTAACAACATACTAAATTTATGTAGAACACAATGAATAAATTTGTCTCATGAAACAATTTTTAAATCAACAATTTCTCATGGTTTTACGAGCACTAGATGCATCAATGACACATACAAACAAAGGAAGTAATTTGGTCCACAGTCAACATATAACAAGAGCTAATCTGCACTGATGCTTATAAGAGTATACTTCAAAACTTCTATTAAAATGTACTAATGTCGACAACTTCGATCACAAGAAAATTACAACTATCATAGAACCGAAGGCCATCCATCCACACTTTAAAATGAAGAAAACACTTCAAAATCATATAATTCTCTTCATGATATAAAAAGAATTCCTCAATCAACAAGCAACCTGAAAATTTAGTGGAGTCATCTTGAACGCTCTATCCCACGCATACTGAAACTTGACAGACTGAGAGCTCAGGATGCCCTTCCCATCATTTACCAGATAACCATCGCGGTCCCTTCTAAACATATTCGGGTCTACATTGGTAGTGCTCGCGAAGCCCTCTGAGTTCAAGAACACGTTGATCAGTGTACATCGGCAATTGTTCTTGATCTCCACCTCGAACACTGAATCGTATCTGAACATCTTTCCGGTGTTTGTGATCCCAATCTCGATGCTTGAGAAGTCACATCTCTGGCCGTTCACTGTCAATTTCGAAACAATGTAAAAATATAGTATGACAAATATATATCTTCCCATGTAAACATATATATGACTGTTCTATCGAAAATTGATGACTAAATCAAATAATTGTTGATTATTTCACTAGAAACTGAAAATGACGGTGAAGTGTTACTTTTAAAACATTAGAGGATATTTCTGTCGATCATGCAAAACATAGGAGGACCCTATGTAATTTACCAAAAGGAGAAATCATAAAAAATTTCATGAAACAGTCTTAAGAGGGATACCTTTCAGAAAGAAGAAGAGAAGGACAGCAGACAGCAGAAGCTTAGTTGCCATCTCTAGCGTCCGAATGTTTCTTAGTTTTGAGTTTTTTTAGAGTTGGTGGATGGAATGGAACATAGATGTTCTCTAAGTATATATAGATACTGAAGGCGATATGTATCATCTTCCTCCATCAATCTTTTTCAGTTCAACAATACATTGAAAGCGATCGAGGCTGTTTTGCATAGATACCCTCAAAATTTTGGTTTTGGCTAACGCACAATGCAATTTTCAGCGCTACCATAAATGTAGATGCGAAAGAAAAAAATTGAATACAAATTCGAAGTCTGGGGCAATGTATGTGTATAAATTCTGAAAAAAGAATTTTGAAGGGTATAACAGCAAAAGATGCTTAACTTATTATGTGGGATTACTTATCCTAAAATCAGGACCATTCCATTTTTTATAACCATTTTTTTAATAGGATGACCAATGGAAAACAATTACTTACAAAACCTTTATTGACCCTAGACAGCGAGGACATGCTTGGTCCTGCTCTTGAATTATTATGTTATTAAATTATTATAACCCTTCTAATTTTATTCAAGAAGGTATAAGGAAATATCTAATGTGAATACTTTGTTGCTTTCAATAGACAGGTCTCTTGCCTTAAAAAAATAATAATAATCCAAGATAATCCTCACCAAGACTACACAAGACTCATTTCTCAGTCAATAAATAAGTACGTGACCATTTGCTGAGTATCTTTCCTTGAAGAAAAGGGTTCACCAAAGTCACTATCTATGTCAGAACTAACCAAATACATAAACAGGCGTATGGTAGACTGAAACTCAGTTTAGACTATGAATATCTCCTACATCCTTCATCCTTGGCAAGAGAGGTCATTGCATCTATGCGCATAATTATTAAATTTAGGAGTGGCTATTGCCGTGAATTTGGTTAAAAAATTCATAGATTGAAAACACATTATAGCAATGATAGCTATTAAAAAAAGAATTACAGTTAATGTAGTTCGACCGTTGAAATGTGTATTTTTTTTGGTAAATGAAAAATGTGTATTTACTCTGGAACATAATGTATAATCTTTCACAATAAAAACTTGAGAAGTAAGTTTGTCCATGATTTTCCATGGAATGTGGGCCTAAGAGAAATGAGATTACAACACAGAATCTTCCAGTGCAATTCTATTCAACTAATATGTTCTTGCATATCAATATATACAAGTGCGATGAATTTGGTTAAAGAGATGAGTGGCAACAACAGTTCTTAAAAAGTAATAGAATTATTATAGTTTGATTGCACAATGTTTAATTATTTGGAACTTAATGTGTTAGCTCTTATAGTATACAGCTTGAAGTAATTTTGTCCATGCCTTTCTGTGGAATTTGGTTTTGAGCAACAATGAGAATAAATCACAGACTCTTGTGCAATCCTATGCCATCGCTTTTGGGTCAGTTTTGGACGAGGAGGTAAGGGATTGTTTGGTCCGCCGCAAGTATTAATTGCAGTGAAAGTCCAAGTTGTATGCAGCTGCAGTTTCTGTAGGTGTCCCAACTGCTGTTACGTGCAATGCAATTGTAGTTGCAGTTGCTTGGTTAAATTATAAATTTTTGTAATGTGCAATGCAATTTGTTGTCGCAGGTGTTTCTTTTGGAATATCAAGTGTTTAATTTCTTTCGTGGTTGGTTATAGTTGGAGTTGCTGTCAGCAGCCTAACTTTGTTGAAAAAAAGTGGACGGGCCCCACAAACCAAAATTTAGGCACCATTCCTGTCTAAGTTTGAAAAATTAAAAGTTGCACAGTAAAATAATATTATTTTAATAGTGCATAGTATTTTCCCAAACACTATAAATAGACCCAAAAACTCTTAAGGAAAAATTCGTTCTACAAACAACTCCTCATATAGAAAAGAGAGAAAAATAGAGAGAGTTTCTCCTTGTAAAGAGAGATTGTAACTTCTAAGTTTTTTCTCATAGTGGATTCTTCTATCATTGCCTGTGGTTTTTACCCTAAATTCATTGAGGGAGTTTTCCATGTAAATCTATGTGTTCTTTTTATCTCTACTATTCGCTGAGGTCCTATTCTAGTGGGCCCCGAGTTTGTCCCAGCAAGTGGTATTAGAGCTTGGTTTAGGGTGCTTGTATCTACTTATCGTATGCTCTATGGCTGCCACTAAAAGTGGTCCCTCCACATCAGAAAATAAGTTAGATTATCACTTACCCTTTGAAGGCGATGGGTACTATTCGCGAGCACGATACTGTTCACAAGGACATTACTATTCACAAGTACGAAATTATTCACGAATACGGTTACTGTTCATAAATACAGTTACTATTTACGTGAAATAGTAAGCAGTTACTGTTCGTGGTAGAAGCAATGGCGGCAAAGTTTGAGATCGAGAAATTCAACGGGAGTAATTTCTATCTGTGGAAGTTGAAAATAAAGACTATCTTGAGAAAAGATAATTGTTTAGCGGCCATCGGTGCAAGGCCGAACGACATCATAGAAGATAAGAAGTAGAACGAGATGGACGGAAATGCTATTGCAAATCTATATCTGGCATTAGTAGATGGGGTACTGTCAAGCATAGAGGAGAAGAAGACAACAAAGGAGATCTGTGATACTCTAACAAAGCTATATGAGGCAAAATCCCTACACAATAAAATCTTCTTAAAAAGGAGACTTTACACTCTGAGGATGGCAGAATCTACATCGATGATAAATGACATCAACATCCTAAACACACTGTTCTCTTAATTCACAACGTTAGGGCATACAATCGGTGTGAATGAACGTGCAGAACTTCTACTTCAGAGTCTATCTGACTCGTATGATCAGCTCATCATCAACCTAACAAACAACATTCTCATAGATAATCTAGTCTTCGATGACGTTGCAACCGCTGTTCTGGAGGAAGAAAATCGGTGCAAGAACAAGAAAGATAGGCAGACAAGTTCGCAATAAACAGAGGCCTTAACAGTGACGAGAGGAAGATCAATGGAACGTGGCTCCAATAGGAGTCATACCCATAGTAGATCAAAATCATGAAGTAAGAAGAATATCAAATGCTACAACTGTGATAAAAAGAGATTTTATCACAGTAAGAAGAGTGGTGATAAAAAGTCTTCAGAGCCATCAACATCTCAAGAATACGTTGTCAGCACATCAGACAATGGTGAAATTTTATATAGTAGAGCAACCACTATTGATAAAGGTAGAAAGAGATTTGCTAATATCTGGCTTCTGGATTCAGCAGCCTCCTAGCACATGACCTCCCGGAGAGAATGATTTCACAAATATGAACCTATCTCAGAAGGATCTGTATTCATGGAGAATGATCATACCTTGGAGATTTCTAGTACTGGCATTATCAAAATCAAAATGTTTGATAGTACAATACGCACCATTCAAGATGTGCGACATAGGAATGACCTAAAAAGAATCTATTGTCTTTAGGATAATTAGATGATCTCGGGTGCAAGACCCATATAGCAAACATGATCATGAAGATTGTTAGAGGGGTGCTTGTTGTTATAAAAGGAGAAAAGATAGTTGCAAATCTATACATACTCAAGGGAGCGACTCTACGGGAAGCTGGTTCATGTGTGGCATCAACCAACCATTAAGAAGAATAAACTATGATATGACATCACAAACTAGGCCACATGTCAGAACGAGGCTTGAAGATTCTCTCCGATCAGAAGCTGTTTTCTGGAGTTAATTCGGTAGCTCTTCCCTTCTGCGAGCATTGTGTTACAAGTAAGCAGCATCGACCGAAGTTCAACACATCAAGTTCTAGAAGCAATGCTATTCTGAAACTGGTTCATTCTGATGTATGGCAAGCACCAGTTATATCCATAGGAGGAGCAAAGTACTTTGTGTTGTTTATTGATGATTACTCCAAGAGGTGTTGGGTGTATCCAATCAAGAAGAAGGCGGATGTGTTCTCAATCTTTAAAGCCTACAAAGCGCGAGTCGAGCTTGAATCTGAAAAGAAGATCAAGTGCTTGAGGTCAGATAACGGAGGAGAATATACAGACGATGAATTTCTTGCATTCTGCAAGCAAGAAGGCATCAGAAGACAATTTAGTACTGCTTATACTCCTCAACAAAATGGAGTGGTGGAGCGGATGAACAAAACTCTGTTGGAAAGAATAATAGCTATGTTAGCAACTATAAATTTGGATAAAGTCTTTTGGGCGGAAGCAGTAAAAATCACCTGTTATATGGTGAATCGATCTCCATCAACTGTAATACAATTGAAAACACCGATGGAGATGTGGACTGGCAAGCCAGCTGATTATTCTAACCTCCATATATTTGGAAGTCCAGTGTACATTATGTACAATGCCCAAGAAACTACAAAGCTGAATTCAAAATCCAGAAAACGCATATTCTTAGGGTATGCTGATGGAGTAAAGTGGTATCACTTGTGGGATCTCACTACCCGTAAGGTTATCATTAGCAAAGATGTTATCTTTGTAGAGAACCAACTACAAAGTGAAGAGAAAGAAAGCAGTTCAAGGAAGGACTCAGAGACTGTAGCTGTTCAGGTACCGATGGAGATGTGGACTGGCAAGCCAGCTGATTATTCTAACCTCCATATATTTGGAAGTCCAGTGTACATTATGTACAATGCCCAAGAAACTACAAAGCTGAATTCAAAATCCAGAAAACGCATATTCTTAGGGTATGCTGATGGAGTAAAGTGGTATCACTTGTGGGATCTCACTACCCGTAAGGTTATCATTAGCAAAGATGTTATCTTTGTAGAGAACCAACTACAAAGTGAAGAGAAAGAAAGCAGTTCAAGGAAGGACTCAGAGACTGTAGCTGTTCAGGTAGAAAATGATCCAAATTCTTCTGAAGCAACACCAGAGCATGATGGACATGAACCAGTTGAGTCTGAATCTCTAAAAGTTTGAAGGTCAACTCGTGAGAGAAGACCATCGACTTGGCACTCAGAGTATATTACGGAGAGTAATATTGCGTACTGTCTTCTAACAGAAGATGGAGAGTCATCAACTTTTCATGAATTTATAAATAGCACAGATGTATCTTTGTGGATGCCAACAATGCAGGAAGAAATTGAAGATCTTCATAAGAATAAA